CGGTCTCTACGGTTTCACTAGTATGTGTCATTTCTCGGCTCCTACTGGAGACCAGCCAAAATCAATAGACTGGCCAAACGTACAGCTACACACAAGAGATAATCCCAAAAAATGTAGTACATCCAGTGATTACATTAAATGAAGTGTTAAATGCAGATGATAAACATCTGTAGCTGTCACAGCAGGTGACGGTCCTGGTTTCTGTGCTTTTTCAGCGTTCGGTGGAAAATCCTCCTGCAGTTCCAGTGTCGGAACAGACTTCTGCTAACCGGGACGCCCATTCAGAACACAATGGCTGAGGTGAGCGACGTGTGTGTGTGTGCGCGTGTGTGTGTGCGTGTGTGTGTGTGTGTGTTGGCAAGTGTGTGGTCATCTGGGCAGAACTGTAAGAGACTGCATGTTTTCCTCTCAGCTGTGGGCCCTGCTGCATTTCATCATGCCTACGTTGTTCGATTCCCATGAAGAGTTTAACGAGTGGTTCTCCAAGGACATAGAGAGCCACGCTGAAAACAAGTCTGCCATCGATGAGAGTGAGTACAGCAAAGGCTACTATTTTTCCCCCCTATTTTATATGTATGCTTTTTAGCTTATTTGAAAATAGGTGCACCAACACTGTCCTTCTATCCTGGCTCTATTTGCATGTGATATGATTTGTATGTAAACATGATTTTTTTGTTGTTGTTTTTCAGACCAACTATCCAGATTGCATATGATCCTGAAGCCTTTTATGCTGCGCAGAATCAAGAAGGATGTGGAAAATGAACTCTCAGACAAGGTAGAAGAACCAAGAGTGTATTAACAATTAAGGGTGACACGACAATCTCATTTTTCAGTTTTCCTAAGGGCAAAAAAAGATGGGTTTCTTCCCCCCCAAGTGGTATCCTTCCTGTTATGCCACATTCCCTCTCCATATTTTAATCCCTATACTCTGCTAAGATAGTATAAGAAATATTGGATTTACAGTGGTCCCTCCTTTATCGCAGTAGTTACGTTCTAAAAATAACCCATGATAGGTAAAATCTGTTTTTTTTTTACAATTATTATAGATGTTTTAAAACCCCTCACTACACACTTTATACACTTTTCTCAGACAGGCATGAACATTTTCACACTTTTGTCTCTTGTTTAAACACAAAGTTCAAACC